GCTAATTAATTATCTAAAATTAATTTTTTTCGTGACCTTATAAGACCACATATTTCCCAAGTTCGATAATACTGAAGAAACGAATCGTGGTTGCCCAGAAAAAAAATGCATAACCCCCACATTTAAAATTTATATTGAATTTATAAGAAAAATGTATCAAACTTGTAATTGCGATCAAGGATATGACTTTTTAAAAGCTTTAATCATGACTTTGGTGCTAATTAATTATCTAAATTAATTTTTTTCGTGGCCTTTATAAAGACCACATATTTCCCAAGTTCGATAATACTGAAGCAACGAATCGTGGTTGCCCAGAAAAAAAATGCATAACCCCCACATTTAAAATTTATATTGAATTTATAAGAAAAATGTATCAAACTTGTAATTGCGATCGAGGATATGACTTTTTAAAAGCTTTAATCATGACTTTGGTGCTAATTAATTATCTAAAATTAATTTTTTTCGTGACCTTTATAAAGACCACATATTTCCCAAGTTCGATAATACTGAAGAAACGAATCGTGGTTGCCCAGAAAAAAAATGCATAACCCCCACATTTAAAATTTATATTGAATTTATAAGAAAAATGTATCAAACTAGCAATTGCGATCGAGCATATGACTTTTTAAAAGCTTTAATCATGATTTTTGTGCTAATTAATTATCTAAAGTTAATTTTTTTCGTGACCCTTATAAATACCATATATTTCCCAAGTTCGATAATACTGAAGAAATGAATCTTGGTCGGCCACAAAAAACTTGGATTTCGCCCACATTTAAAAATTATGTATAATTCGTGTAAATATAAAATTAGAGGCGTAAATCAGATGGGAAACATGTTTATTATTTGTAATAAACCATATAAAACACTTTTCCGATGAATTTTCCAAATTTTCCATAATTTTGAAAACAAATATTGTCCGGTACATTTAAAGACAAGATTCGAATATTGCGCCACGATATTTTACCCCTCTAGCCACGATACATTTCTACTAGGGTGGGAATCGTGCTGATTAGTTTTTGGTAGAGATCGGCCGGGCCGTTTTCTTGTAATAAAGTTTTTAAAAAAAAAATTTCGACGATTTTTATGATTATTTTTTGACGATAGATACCATAGTCTTCTAGATCATACTAAAATATTACGGCGCTACGACAACTGGTTCAGCTTTAAAAATTCGTCAAAGTTTGCAAAAATCAGTATGGTCTTTTTGGCATTTGTCAAGATTAGATTTTTGATCGACGTTTTCTCAAAAACGCCTGAACCGATTTTAGAAATTTAAAAGCCATTTGATGTATTTCGGTGAGGACTATCGGTTGTCAGTTTTGAGCAACGATCTGCCAAACCGCTGCTATGTAATTTGGCAAAACCTTTTCATCCACATTTAAGCTCATCCTACCGAACGATTTTAAAAAATCAAAAACTGTTCGAAAGATATTAGTTGGGAATGGTACTGATTAATTTAGGTGAAAATCTACCGAGCCGTTTTCTTGTAATTAACTGTTGAAAAAAAAATTTAAGCCGATTTTCATGGAATTTTTTTGGCGATATACATCATGGTCTTATAGAACTTACTGTAATATTACGGCCTAACGACAAGTAGTTTAATTTTAAAAATTCGTCAAAGTTTGCTAAAATTATTATCGTTTTTTTTTTAAAGTAGGATCAATGAAGTATATTATTTACACATTTTTTTTTGATTAAGTCGATTATTTACACATTTCGGGAAGTTCATGTAACTTGCCTCAAGGCTAAATACCAAACCAACTAGTTAAATTTATAATATGAAATTTGTATTTATAGTTTTCCAAATGTTAATTAATCACAATTAGGAATGAAATATTTTTGAAATGAATATATAAAAACTTAATATGAAATATATAAAAACTTTTTGTACCTTCATATTTTTTCAATAAAGTAGGATTGCAAGAATAAATATTTAATATTTTTTAATATTTAATTTATATACATATTTCACTTTGAAATACCATTTCAATTTTACTATTAACTATTTTAATTTTATAGAGATGTCAAGAGATTCATGAATGATTATATAATATAATATTGAATCTTAATCTACATACAATAAATTTAATATTTTACTTCAAATTTTTTTAACATTTATTTATGTGTTTGTGTTAATAGTCATACTAGTTTGTTATTATTTCTTTATTTAATTATTTTTTATCTGCGGATGACACATTATCTAACTCTAAAAAATACAAAATTTAATTTCATGTGAGAATTTATTATCAGTAAGAATTGATAATTGTTTAATTTTTGTAGCTTACTGTGATATTTGTTCTCAACATAATAAAAATATAACTAGTGGTGCATGGCATCGTGTCTTTAAGCAAATTGGTGGAACTTCCCGTTCCGTAATTAAATAGAATCGAGGAATAATAAATGATTTCAAATAGTATTCGTATTTGAATGACAAAATATAAGAATAAATTGGAGAACGACGTTTATATATGTATACATAAAAAGTAAATTAAAGTATAAAAGAACATATCTCATATTTATAAGAATTATATAAACTAATTTGCAAATTTAAATTTATTTACTTGAAGTATATAAGAGAGTTTTAGAATTTTAGCTAGCATTAAAATTAAAATCCGAATCATTTTTCATAATGTAATAAATTGAAATAATTGTAAATTAAAAAAAAAATGGACAAAAAAAATTTCTGCTTTCCTAAACTAATCGATTCTTTATACTGCAAAATGTTTTTTGAATCATTCGAATCGGAAGCTTTGAAACGACTGGGCCTGTCTTTTCCAGAAACTAATCACCACGTCATCAATACAAATTGAATGTTTTTAAATAATTCAAATCGGATGCTCTGTTTTCTCAATAGGAAACGATTGCTTTTGAATGTTTAAAATCGGTTGATCCGTGCTCCCGAAAAACGTGGACAGAAAATTGTATCCACACACACACACACACAAACACATACATCCATTTCTTTAAGGTATGTCAATATATCAAAAACCTCTGAAACGTTAAAATGTAAAAAGGTTTATTAACTATATGTAAATTACAATTTAGGAAAATTACTATAACTTGCGGTAAGTAAATAATAAATGTATTTATTAACTATCGGTCATTAAGTTTAATAACAATTAACTTAATTGAATAATAATTTTTATTAGAAAGATTGAACTAAACAACATTGCTGACAGCGAAACTTGTTTATATACGCCACCATGTATTAGATACTGAGATACGAGGTTGCGCATGGCAATTTTTTGAATTGAGATACGTGATTGTATTCTTCTCAATAAAAACGTTCGGTTGATTTTTTTTTTACAAAACTTCACAGATCTATGCGTCTATATTTAGTGATTCATTTTCCGATTAAAACTCAAAATCGTCAAAAATCGAGTTACGAGGTTGCGTCAGAAAAGCATCGATATGTCTAATGATCATTTTTCACCGCCAAATGCCATTTTCTTCACTTTTTCACATTCCTCAAAATTTAATCAGTTGTTCATTTTGTCATATAAGTAAAATGTTTTTTTAAATTATTGAAATCGTTTTCTTATCGCTCCATTCTCTTCAAAACTGAATCACTATTTTCGCACTTTTTGCCTCGTATCTTCGAAACGGCTTTGCCAAAATTAAACAGCACTTCTCCTTATTTATATGAATCGAATGTTTTTTGAATCATTCAAATTAGATGAAACGTTAATAATTAAGTATACATGAATCAATGATGACAATCCAAATTCATAATTTTAATAACTGTGTCAATATCTAATGGCAACATATGAGATAGAAGATGAAGTGTCTCCGCCAATTTTATATCATTATATGCTACAGTATGTCATTACTAAAAGACGAATGAATCTGTATAAGATATTTTGATCCAAAATGTCGATAAAAAACGTTAATTCTAATTGCAATCTAGATGTAAGAAACCTAAGCCGAACAACAGCCCTTATACGATAGAATATAACATTACATATTATTATAAAATAACCCACTTTGAATCGTCGAATTATTAAATTTACTTACTTTATTTTACTTGCTCCAAAAAATATATAAATATTTCTGGAACATGGCTATTGATATTTTGAAACATTCCACTCGCAGTTTACATTTTTTAATTGTTTTATCGCTAAAAAATAAGCAGTATTTTTTAGAACAAAAATTGATTTAATTTAAAAAACACAGTTTACCTCGAGCAGCCGTACTGTTCGGATCAGTTCTTCAATAAAATAAAATAATATTTATCCAATCATAACAAAATTAGTGAGCAGTGTAATATAAAATTATACTCAATCCATCCAAAACTACACAGTAGTGAAACTAAGCCCCCCTTTTAGGGGGGCATATAAATAAAAAGAAATAGTGCAGTGAATAAAAAAAAAATAATAAAACAGTATAATCTCAGTGTTACTAAATAATCATGCAGAACAGCGAAGAAAATAGTTCAACTATTCCAATTGTACAAATCAATTGAAATACTGAATGACACCTCCCAAACAAATAGTGCATACGCGCCAAACCATTTAATTAATCAACATAACAATATGAATTACCAATCACCTGAAACAGTTAATCACATGTTAAACACCTCGCAAACAGATAGTGCATACGTGCAAAACCATTTAATTAATCAAACATAACAACATTAATACCAATCACCTGAAACTGTTAATCACATGTTAAACACCTCGCAAACAAATAGTGCATACGTGCAAAATCATTTAATTAATCAACATAACAACACTAATCACCAATCATCCGAAACTGTTAATCACATGTTAAACACCTCGCAAACAAATAGTGCATACGTGCAAAACCATTTAATTAATCAACATAACAACACTAATCACCAATCACCCGTAACTGTTAATCACATGGAAACAGAACAATTAATCAAGCAGTAAGCTGGCAGACAATCAAAACTAACAAACGTCGAAGAACTTCAACAGGCCATATCGAAAACGTCAGCATTATAAAAACATCAAACCGGTTTAATGTTCTCGCAACAGGTAAACCGGCGACCCAAGCCGATAACACAATAGCAACACCAGGCCCTTCGACCTCGCAAGCTGATAACAGGAATACGGTTCAAAGGCCACCTCCCATTTTCGTCTATGACGTAGACGATATCGCTGACATGACAGGCGAAATCAACACAATAATAAACAGGGAGCAGTACACAACAAAATCATTGCACGACGATATAGTGAAAATAAACGTCGAAACACCCGAGCAATATAAATTGCTCATACAATTTTTAAGTCAAAACGCGTAGTGTATCATACCTACCAAATTAAACAAGAGAGAGCCTACAGAGTAGTTATAAAAAATATTCACTACACAACCGATACTAACGAAATTAAAACAGCGCTAGAAAAAACTAAACTACAAAGTGAGAAACATTGTCAATATCTTGCAACACAAGACTAAATACCCATTAAACATGTTTTTCGTCGATTTGGAGCCTTCAGAGAATAACACCACAATTTATAAACTGAACAAAATTTAAATCAAATTGTAACAGTGGAATCTCCCAGAAAAAGATTTGGTATTATACAGTGTACAAGGTGCCAATTATATGGACACTGTAAATCCTATTGCAACAGACCATTTGTCTGCGTCAAATGCGGCGGCGACCATGATACTTCAAAATGTAAAAAATTAAAAGCACTCCAGCCACATGCGCTTTGTGCTGAGGCCCACACCGGCAAACTATAGAGGAAGCACCAGCTACCGCATATGTATAATACCTTACATAACAAAACTAGTGCACACCAATACAAAACATTCAAAACGCTTTCAAGAAATCAATACAAGACCACGATCAAATCATACTAAAATGTTCGAACCACATGACTTATTCCGAAATTCTGAAAAATCAAAACAACGGCGGAAAACAATGCAACAGAAATAGGATCAACACTACATGAATTTTTAGTACATTCAAAGATATGTTCAAAACAACTTATGGAGCAGAACATATGATCCTCAACATGCTTACCTTACTAGCTAAAAAATGATAACCTGTTACGCATTGCCAAATGAATGCCAACGGTATCTAAACAGGCATCGGCAACTACGGCCGCGTGCCAGGCTTGGCACGCGAAGGGATTCTGAATGGCACGCTACAAAGGAATTAGGAAAATCGCAAATATATCGAGACGAAGTGATTTTTAAATAGAGAAAATGTTGAAAATAAGAGAGAAAGTTTGATTATAATGTGGTTCGCTAATTTCATGAAAATCTGCGCGAAGGTTGATTGAGACCGCATTCCGGAGTTAAAAGGGATGAAACATGTGCAGGCCGAGTAGTTATCGAAGCGGCCTTCACGAAGCTGAATGTTGGAGTATCACTCGCCCCCCTCTTTCTCGTTTATCAACTGCGAGTGCTGCGCACCATTTGCACCATTTGCTTGTGTGCTTTGTGGGTGGGCTTAAACTGCGCATTAAACTTGCATTTCGTTTGGTCGCTACTTTCGTTCTTACTTTTTGTGAAGACTTGTATCTTATTGATTTTATATTTGTTATAATTCATTCGTATTAATCAAATGGAGAGTAAGAAACAAAAATTAGATGTTCGCGGTTTTCAAGACTGTTGGACGAATGAATATGGATTTATACAACAAAAGGATCGTGCTGTATGTGCGATATGCCGCGAAAGTGTAGTATGCCGCACGTCAAGTGTACAAAGACATTTCCAAACCAAA